TCAATCCCCAGTACCGCAAAAAAAATTAATTAGACAGATGACGCTGTCCAGACAAGTAGACGCCAGGCAGAGGGAGCTAGCACTGACTAAATTCCACCTTGTGGGCTGGACATGGCGGCACACATTTGTTTTTTGGTTTTTTTGTTTTTTTGTTTGTTTGTTTTTGCAGAACCGGGGATTGAACTCAGGTCCTTGCACTTGCCAGGCCAGGTGCTTATTCCACTGAGCTATCTCCCCGGCCCTCACGATACACATTTGTAATGCCAGCTCTGGGAAGGCTGAGGCAGGAGGATCACTGTGAGTTTGAGATCTGCTTGGGCTACAGAGTAAGTTCCAAGCCCAGGGAGATAGCTCAGTGGAATAAGTCCTTGACTGGCAAGCATAAGGTCCTGAGTTTGATCCCTGGTACCACAAAAACAAACAAACAAACCAAAGTGAGTTCCAGGCCAGCCTGAACTGCATAATGAAATTCTGTCTTTAAGGGTTGGAAGTGGGATACTGTTCTTCTAAGCAAGATCCCCCAAGGGTCAAAGGACCTTAGAAAAGTGTAGTGCTGGTTGACACGTAGATTGGTGGTACTCTTGGTGAAGGCAGGAAGCACCCCAGCCCACAAGAGGGAGGACAGAGAAGAGCAGGATGAAGGAGACAGACACGTGGGCATCTGCTCAGCCGTGGCCAGGCTGGGAGCCAGACTTCTTCCCCTAAGGAAAGCAAAGCCGCCACATATGGGAGCAAAGTATAGCTACGTGAGTGGTGCGTACGAACCAGTTTCCATAAATGATTTCTTCAGATGCTTGACTATATATATACACAAATTTTTGTTTTATTCAACAGTAGGTCTCCAGGGACCAGGGAGATGGCTCAGTGGAATAAGTGCTTCCCCGGCAAGCGCAAGGGCCTGAGTTCAATCCCTGGTTCTGACAAAAAAAAAAAAAAAACAGTAGGTTTCCAGCATCTAGAAGAGAGATTGGCAAATGGTAGGTGTTTGATAAAAGTTTGTTGAAGGAATGAACGCTTCTAACAGCACTCCACCGAAAGTTCTGTTGCCTCTGTTTTTATAAATAAGGAAACAGGCCAGAGAGGCTAAGACACTTAGTGTGGAAGCCAGAAATAAGTTTGGCCCTTGCTCCAGGCTGGGCAGGCCCACAGCTTGTCCCTGTCATGCTAGGAGTCACTCTCTATTGCCATAGCTGTGGGGCCTCTCCTGGATGCTGGGTCGCTGCTCCAGTCACCCGCGTGTCCTCCCACTCAGGGGAGAATCTTACTTTTTCTTGGGGCCTGAGAGGTCCTGTGGGACCCACCTCAATTTCTCCCCTGCTTGAGCCCTAGACCTTTTGCCAGTTCCTTCCGGAGGTCAAGCTGCGTAGCTCCAGTCCCTCTGCCTGCACTGTTTTCTGATTTGCTTTATCTCTTTGATTTTGATGACCTCATTATACTACCACTGTACCCTCACCCCATTGTAACCATAATGACAGCAAAAACCTTTTGTTTTGTGCCCAGTTACACAATTTAACTGAGATACAATGTATATAGGATAAAATTTAGATTTAGCAGATTTTAGTAAATTTACTGATGCGCGCCCCCATTGCCATAATCTAGGTGTTAGAACGTTCGCCACCCACTAAAACCTCACGTTCATTTAGAGTTCAGCGCCATTTCTGCCCCTAGTCCCCAGGATGACTACTAATCTACTGTCTGGCTCTAAATTTGCCTATTCTGGACAGCTCATCTAAACGGAATCACATAAGCTATGGTCTTACGTCTGCCTTGGTTCACTCAGCAACACGTTCGCATACTCTGTACTACGTGTAGCTAGTTCTTTCTTTTTCATTGTCAAATAGAATATCATTGTGTGACTGTGGCACGTTTGTCCGTTCGTTCAGTAACTAACGGTGGTGTTTCCTCTTTTTGGCTACTATGACTGATACTGTTATGAACATTTATGAGAAAGTCTTTGCGGGCACGTATGTTTTCATTTGTTGTAAGTAAATATCTATAATGAACTCTTTGGGCCTCGTGGTAAATTTATGTTTAACTTTTTTTTTTTTTTTGAGGAACCGGGGATTGAACTCAGGCCCTTGTGCTTGCCAGGGAAGCGCTTATTCCACTGAGCCGCCTCCCCAGCCCTATATTTAACTTTTTAAGAAACTGCCAAGCTGTTCCAAAGTGACTGCCCTGTTGCGCATGAATAGCAATGAACGTGACCTCTGTTTTCTCCCCATCCTGGCCAACACTTGGTGCTGTCACCAGTCAGTTGAGGTTTTTTTTTTTTTTTTCTCAATTCAAGTAGAAAGCAAGAATTGGCGAGGGGTAGCTCTGCTAGCAGTGCCAGGCTCTGAGCGCCGATGGCCCTTAGTCCTCGGTGTTACTGCAAACAGGAGCGGCCCGGAGGCTCAGTGCTGGTAGGATCCAGTTAATTGTAAACACTAACACCGGCTGCCAGCTGCCAACTTGCCAGTTACCTCTTTCTGCCACCGTCAGCTCCTGATCTCTGCAGCTATCCAGTGCTAACGACCTGAGTGTTTCTAACTTTTTTATTTTTTACAACAACCACTCTGTGCGCACTACCCGGGAGAAGACTCTCAAGACCACACCCTTGGAGAAATAAATCACAAGTAGATTCACTGGAGTGGTGCTTTATTTAAACAGGACCCATGTACAGCATGGAGGAATCAAGGCCTAAGAGGAAGCCCTCCTAGTTAGAAGTGTGAGGGAGGGGAGGGTTGAATATATATATATATCCCTGGGATAGGTCCAAATTCCAGCCAGCAGATTCTAGCCTTCAGCTACTCTAAATCTGAGCCTGCCAGTTGGTCCCAACTGGTCTGCACACAAGCTTGCTTGCTTTTATTTTAGGGAAGGGCCTACAGGATGTTCAGGGTCTCACTACTAGATCCAACTTGTAGTGATCTGCCTGTTTACACCTTCCCAAGAGCTGGAATAATGGCACACGCCACCACACCCAGCCTCAACTGTCATCTCAGCGTGCCCCAAGGGCGGGACCAGTGTGGCAGGCCAGGGGATTGAAACCCCTGGCCCCTGTGCTTGCTTGCAGGCCCTTTAATCCGTTGAGCTATTTGACTGGCCCTTCTGCACACAAGTTTTCGGATTGGAATGTACTGATTGGCCCAAATTCAATTCTATTTCTTGGTTCAAATTCAAGCCTAGCAGAGTTAAGACAGACATCTCTCCCAGAACAGATATGGGGCATTAAGGATAGTCACAGCTGTCACGGAGGCAATACTGGTGATGTCGGGAGAGATGAATATTCACTTGACAGCTGTCACGTCTTGAGGGGGAAAATAAAAATGGCAGGGCCAAAAACCTTGGGCGTGTTCAGGAGAGCTAGCTGCATTAACCACAGCTTCCTGGGGCTTGGGGAAGTTCAAGAGGTTAATAACAGGTCTGGATCCCTTCTAGATCTGGGCTGCCTTGGGGTGGTTTCCCATTGCTTCTTAGAGAAGGCAACAGGAAGTCTATCTTGCAGGGGAGAGCACCTCAGCCTCCACTGAGCTACCCCTCCTGTCACAGTAGCCCGGTGAGTGGCCACAAAGTAACCAAGGAGGACACCAAAGGATGTTGTCCCAGTCTATACTTAGGGGTACCAAAAGTGAGTGAAAGGAAACCAGGAGAAGAGGGTGTGATACCTATTGACCAACCCACCCCCACCTGGACATCAGACCGGGAGAAGAGGAAATCAGGAGCTTCTCATTGTCTCTGTATTGCCTGACTTTTTCTAGTGGGTGGGCAAAGCCATTGCATTGTAATTGCTAAGTATTTGAGTGAACAGATATCTCTGAAGCTGGTCAGAACTTGGGTTCAAACCAAGGTATTTCAGCTGGAGCAAGTTGCCACCCCATTGTGAGGTAAAAGGACTTTGAGACATAAAACTATGGTGCAGGGCTGGTGAGATGGCTCAGTGGTCTAAAGCACCTACTTAGAACAAGCTAAGCTAAGCAAAGCACAGGGACTGCAGTTCAATCCCCCAGCACCACATGCCAGCCAGCCCTGCCCCCTGGTGGGCTGAACTGGCCACACAAACACAAAATAAATAAATAAATAAATAAATAAAAATAAAACTATGGTGTCCTAAGGAATAGGGTCATGTGTCACTAAAGTAGTTGCTACTGTCATGGCCACAACGACCACCATTATCATCTTCATCCTAGTGAAAAGTCAGCATCAAAGCAGGAAATACAGCAGGGACAGTCCCAGGCTGTGTTCTAAGCATTTGACATGTATTAATATCTTAGTCTATGAGATTATTGCCACAGTTATCCCCCTCTTATAGATGATAAAGGGGGACATAGAGAATTGAAGTCACTTGTCCCAAATCACCAAGTTAGCAGGAAACAGAGCCAGCTCCAGAGCCAATTCTCTGTCACCACATCACGCCTCCTGCCCTTACAAGGCAAACTGGAAAAGTGCCATTTTAGAGAAGCAGACAAAATTCAAGTGGGGAGAGAGGAGAAGTCAGAGTTGGCTTGGGCCTGGTTGGAGCATCCCAGCTGAGCAGCCAGAGGAGTGAGGCACACGGTTGTGGAATTTGTTCCTCTTTTTGCATACTGATGCAACCCTGGTAACAGAGCTCAAGGCATCTTTTGTGCTGCTGTTCCACAGTGAGTGACGTCATGGGCACTGCCAGGTCTTTATCATTTCTGCAAATAAATAGCTCAACCACTTGGTCTGCAGAAGCCGGCAAGGTACTGCACGGCAGAGTGCTTGGGTTCTCCAATAAGCAGGTGAGCGTGGGGCAGAGGGGCTGGGTGCATGAGTGTTTTGCTGCCTTCTGTGCTTGGGGAATGGCAGGACCAGAGATGGGAGATGGGGTAGGACCAGAAAGGCAGATGGGCTGACTCTGCTGTGGAAAAAAATGTGGGGCCGTGCAGGGTGGCCTTGGGGACAAGGTTCCTGGCTGATGGGTGAAATGCTCTGCAGAGGGACCGGAAGACCCCCACCCAGATGCCACCTCCGTCTCTGTCTTGTACCAGTTGACCCTCATGATGGAGTCCTTCTTCCCTGGCAACCACTGGCTCTACTTCTCCGTGAACCTATTCGCCTTCCTGGTGGGGCTGCCCCTCAACCTGATGGCCATGGTAATCTTCGTGGGTAAACTCCGGCGCCGCCCAGTGGCCGTGGATGTGCTCCTGCTCAACCTGACCCTCTCAGACCTGCTGCTGCTGCTCTTCCTGCCCTTCCGCATGGTGGAGGCGGCCAGTGGGATGCGCTGGCCCCTGCCCTTCATCTTCTGCCCCCTCTCTGGCTTCCTCTTCTTCACCACCATCTATCTCACCTCCCTCTTCCTGGCGGCTGTGAGTGTCGAGCGCCTCCTGAGCGTGGCCCACCCTCTGTGGTACAAGACCCGGCCGAGGCTGGCTCAAGCGGGGCTGGTCAGTGGCATCTGCTGGTTCCTGGCGAGTGCTCACTGTAGTGTGGTCTACGTCACGGAATTCTGGGGGAACTCTACGCAGAGCCAGGGCACCAACGGGACCTGCTACCTGGAATTCAGAGAGGACCAGCTGGCTGTTCTCCTTCCTGTCCGCTTGGAGATGGCTGTGGTCCTTTTTGGGGTGCCTCTGCTCATCACCAGCTACTGCTATAGCCGCCTGGTATGGATCCTGAGTCACAGCTCTAGCAGGCGCCGGCGCCGGAGGGTGGTGGGACTTGTGGTGGCCTCTCTGCTCAACTTCCTTGTCTGCTTTGGGCCCTACAACATGTCACACTTGGTCGGCTACATTCAGGGCAAGAGCCCAACATGGAGGGGCTATGTGCTGCTCCTCAGCACCCTGAACTCCTGCGTCGACCCCCTTGTCTACTACTTCTCATCGTCCAGGTTCCAAGTGGACTTCCACGAGCTGCTAGGGAAGCTGACTGGAGGCTGGGGCCCTGGCAGTCAGGAGGTTAGTGTGGAGCTGAAGGTCAAGGACGGAGGAGAGTGGCAGTCGCAGGACTGTCCGACCTAGAAATCAGGGCTGGACCCAAGGAAGGGCTTTGGAACAGGTGGCCTTACGGCCGGAGCTAAAATTGAGCTCCTCCAGGGCAGGAAGGAGGAGCGAGCATATGTACTCAGGGCAGAGCCTGACTCCAGCCGGCCAGGACCTTGCAGCAGCAGGCTGGGTCCTGGTGCGGCTCAGGGCCAGAGCAGCCACCTGCACTTCCCAGGGTGTGCTGAACTCTGGAGAACCCGCCTCCTTTCTTTCCTCCCACCCTTGAGAGGCTGTTCTGGAGGAAAATGAGCTAGTGCCTGGGACAAAGAGAGCTGTTCATGGCTCCGGACAGCAAAGGGCAGGAATCCAGCCTTCAGAGCTGCGCCTGTCCAGGATGTTAGAGGTGGGGGAGACGGGGCTCCAGGGATGAGAGAAACCTACCTTCCCTCATACTGGCTTTTCCAGAAAGTTTCCACTGCTCAACTAATTCAGATCTTTAAGGATACTTATGAACGGTGACAGGGGCAAAATGACCCAAATAAATCTGGTGGCAAGCAAAAGAAAATGGGCTTTCCTCGTTCTCCTATTGTTTCCCTCGTAGTGAACGCGGTGGATGGAAGTGCGAACACAGAGACTGAAGAAGAAGGGCTACACGCTTGCAAAAGGGTCTGGGTTGGAGAAATGAAAACAATAGCAAAGCTGCCTTAAGGAGTAGCACACAGACGTGCTGTCTTGGTGGCCTTGGTGGCCACAGGGTAGGTGCTATCATTATCACCACTGGGATGTGTCTAGCCCACAATCCTGAGAGCTGGGCACACCCAGTTGCCTGGGCTGCATTAAGTGAGGAGGAATTGTCTTAGTCAGCATAAAAATACAGCTAGGCCTGGCATGGCGACATACAGCTGCAATCCCTGCTCTCTGAGAGGCTGAGGCAAGAGAACTGAAAGTTCAAGCCCTGCCTGGGCAACTTAACAAGACCTTGTCTCAGATTAAAAAAAAGAAAAAAGAAAAGAGAAAAAGGCTAGGATGTCACTCAGTGTGAAGGGCCCAGATTCTACACCCAGCAACACGCACGTGCATACATGAACATACACATATTCACACACATGTACACACAGAGCAAGAAAGGGAGAGAATGCGTGAGAGAAAATATACAATCTTACTAATGTATGTAACAAAATTTTCATATAAATTTTGTTATAACATAACAGAAGCACGGCCAACCAGCAGAACACAGGTTGGACTCCTCTGGGTGAGGGTGGCCTAGAGAAGAAATGCTCTTTCCCCTCAGAGCTAGCGGGTGCCTGAAGAAGCACTAGAAGTTAGACTTAAATTGACTGTAAGACATGGGGCTCCTGACCTGCTCTGGCACCCCACTTTAGCTTCACGTCCTTGGCAGTGACCTGATTCAGTCAGACCTCCAAAGCCAGGGCATACATGGTGGCCAGGAGAATGTAAACAGGCCAGGACGAGAAACAGAACCAGAGGCAAAGCAGATTGACTACCTGCGTTGATACAGCCTCTCCCCGGGAGAGAAACACTCCCAAAAAAACCCAGATTAATTAAGGTCATTAGCACGGTTGACTTCAGGTTACTGCAAAAACAGATGGATGTCTTTATGGGTTCTTTTCACGGAAAGGTCATTAACTTTTCATTTTCCACTGGGGAGACAGCTGGTCAGGGTCCCCTCTTCCCAGCAAGGGAATCAGAATAGTACCTGTTTGCTCTTGGACGGCTTTGCTGTAAAAAGTATTTGTGGAGTACTTCCTAAGGATGGCTGGGCTGGGAACTTCAGGGATTTTAATACTAAGGTAGTTAATGTGAATCCTTCCTGGGGGATTGAGGACTGGCTGTGGTAGGGGACCACATTTCAGATAGAAAGAGTCATTATGTCTGGGTGGGGATGGAGGCCTGAACTATTTCTCTCACTGTTCTTCATCTGTCCTGCCCAAGGGACTCACCACAGTTGGCTGCTATGAAGCTGATGTGAGCACAGGTTTATAGGATTCCGAAGGAGACAGGTGCTGTGGAATCATGAGGCTCCAGAATGGGCTCCAAAGCTGTGAGGGAGAGGTTGACATCCCACATTTTAAAGAAAGCCAGGAGGAACAGGAGTGGAACTCCACTTCCAGGGCTTATAGTAAGGGATCAGAGGCAGCTTAATTGACTGTGTTGTCCCCAGCCATCCCGGGCAGCACCCCTCCCAGAGGGACTAAGCAACGGACTAGGGGTGCGGGGAGGGCAAAAGCCTTTAGTGCTTGGAACAGATGCCCAGGGAGCAGTGAGGGGAGTGTTCCAATGACTTTGAATGTCTCCTCTAAAGACAAGGGAAGTGGTTTCTTGGAACTGAAGGTGGATCTTAGGGCTGCTGCCTGGTGTGCCCTGTGAGCAGGAAGAGAATGGCAGAGGGGTGCTGGCAGTGCTGCTGCAGGAAGCTGGGTTAGATAAAAATATTACAGGCAGGGGCCGGGGAAATGGCTCAGTGGAATAAGCACTTCCCTGGTAAGCGCAAGGGCCTGAGTTCAATCCCCAGTTCTGAAAAAAAAAAAAAAAAAAAAAAAATTACAGGCCCTCAGAAGGAGCTAGTATGAAAGGCCAGACAGATATCTCCCAACTGTGTGACAGACAGACACACTGCCACTGTGGGCCAAATCTCAAGGCAAAAGATCAAACAAATGCCTTCCTCCCTAAAGTTAAACACCCAGGATTGATATTCGCAAGGTCTCTATCACCTTGAGGAAGCCAGGAAGCGTCACCCACCCAGCCCCCTACAGGATAAGCCCCTGTTCTATATTCATGTCCTTTTGCTAAGTGACTGCCTTCCCATTTGGTCCTGGATTTAATCAATTTTACCTGAGCGATGGTGATTGTAATCTTACTGGAGGACCACAGATTCGACCCACCTCATGTGAGAGTTCTCATGTTTTCCACTTTAAACTCACCTCAACATATGGTTTTGCTCTACAAAAATCCCTAGAGAAGGCAGATTCCTTGGCAACCCACTTAGGTCCGCCTTCTGTCCCTCTCTCGGACCAAAGCTTTCTTTCCCCCAGTAAACATATTCTGCCCTTAACCTCTGTTGTTCCTAAACTTTATTCTTTGGCTTTAGAGAACAGGAACTCAGCCCAGGTATCTTTCAGGCTGGGAGCTTCATTCCCCTAAATCAGTGGGTGTGTGCATATGGATGACAGGACATCAGCCCTCTCCCCTATTAGACTCCCATGGGTGGGGGAATCAGAGCAAGGAATGCTGGAAGGGATCAAGCTGGATGGCACCTCCCAAGACAGAGATGAGAAGGCCCCATAGTGTCACTGCAGAAGAGAGCCAACCATTGGGCACCTGACTCAAGGCAGACAATTATTAGTGTTCATGGTAATTAATATTTCTCAAACTCCGTGCATCATTGTCCTCTTATGGAGAATTTTTGGAGGCTTTTTATTTCCCACATAGCCCATTTCTTTCCTGGCTGGTGTAATTTCAGTGGAATAAACACATAGTGTTTCTGTTTACGTGTGTGGTTCTTTGGAAGGACCCAAGCCATGGTAAGTTTTTCTTTGCTCGTTTGTTATGTTTCCTAAGCACACATTTTGAACTTTTGGGGGACGTATTCTCCTGCTGAGAGTCTGAGAATACCTGGGCTAGAGAAATAGTCTTGTTCGGGAGACAGAGCCCAGCTTGTGCAGCTGGAGCTCAGCGGAGGTAGGTTTATCGTCTTACAGCAGCGAGGCACTGCGGCGCACTCCAGGAGAAGCAGCCGCATGTTTGGGTAGGGTGGAGTGAGATGTAAATGAAACAGTGTTTGCTCAGCTCAAAGCGAAGCAGGCGAGGGGGTAAATGGGGTGAACCGGGGGGCCTCTGCTGAGATGCCGCTGCAGAGTCCTATTTCTCTGAAAGACACACAGAAAAGATAAAAGTAGAATGGTGTGTGTAACAAGTCCCAACCCCAAGCCGTTGTGGGTTGGAAATCAGGCGGCTTCTCCGGGCCATAGTCTTGGACCCTTCAAGTGACAGTGCTAGGCCCTGTGTTCCTTGGTCAGCCAAGCTGCTGACTCTCCGCGATTCCAGAGAACGAAGGTCCTGGAGAATAAAGTTTACTGGCCATGTACGTTCTGTTAATTACATTAAAATTTAATTAGGGAGCCAGGGAGAGGCTCAGTAGAGTAAGTGCTTCCCTGGCAAGCGCAAGGGTCTGAGTTCAATCCCCAGTTCCGCAAATAAATAAAAAGCAATGCAGATAGTGATGTCAGTTTAATTTTTTTAAAAAAGGGCTGGGGAGATAGCTCAGTAGAATAAGTGCTTCCCTGGCAAGTGCAAGGGCCTGAGTTCAATCCCTGGTTCTGCCAAAAAAAAAAAAAAAAAAATTAGTTAATTAGATGCAAATTTGACTGACCATCTATTTGATTAGTCAAGCATATTTTTGAAGGTTTAGGGCCAGCCTGATAGCCCAGTGGACTAAAGCGCCTGCTTAGGCAGAGAGCAGGGGCCGGGGTTGCATCCTTGGTGTGCCGCCCGCCCCACCCCACCCCCGGGGTGCCCTGAACCTGCGATTGAGACTGGGTGTGGCACACGCCTGTAATCCCCGCACTTGGGAGGCTGAAAACAGCACGATCCTTACAGGTCCTATCTACATAGTGAGACCACGTAGACCCTGCACTAAATACATTAAAAACAACAACAACAACGGTTTACAAGAGGAACATCCCAGAAGAAAATAGGTTTCGCCAAAACCTAAGGCAGCTCAAGCCAGAAAGACAGGAGGAAGGAGAAACTGGTGAAGAGGTTTCAGGCCATCTGCACTCACAGTCCAGCGTGAGAGGAGGCCCCACAAGCTCAGAAGAGGGTGGAGGTGGTCGCAGAGCAGGGAAGCGGCTACTAGAGAGACAGCCAAGTGGAGGCTTTCCCTGAGTTAGGTGTGTCACCCTCACCAGAGCCTTTGGAGGGCTGTGCTTGTGCCCTCTGGAACTGGGCAGCTGTGATGCAGGACAGGAGAGATGGATCCCTTCAGCTGGACCCCAGGGAGGGGAACAGGAAGGAGT